GGGGGGGGGGGGGCGATGGGAAAGTGCGGCGCATCCACGGGCCCCCGCCAATACCGCACGAAGGACGTCAACAGCGACCTTCAGGAGACCCCGCCTTCAAGACTCGTCAGACGAATCAAATCAATCGCTTTGTTGTAACGGCATGCGTAAAAAAATACGGTCGATTTTCTTGTTCATTTTCGGCGCTCCAGGAACGAGGGTCTCGGACTACAGTTTACACACTCGAATGCATTAAGGCCGGTCCACAAAGCAGGTAGCGTTAGTCTTGGCGATAGAGAGCCAAGAGCAGCAGCTGCTGTAGGCAAAAACCAACAAACAGCCAGAATGCCGCTCGAAAGAGGCGCTCCAGGCTCTTGTTCCCTCAAACTACGTAAACTAATTCAGGGAGCGGCGGTGGGGGGGTGGGTTGGGGAATCGATGGTTCGGGGAGAACGGTAAAAAAAAAACTTGCCTTCCGCGAAAAAACACCACCGCATCCTTCTACTACAAACCCCATGCGTCATCTCCAAATCAAGACGATTCCAGTTGTCACTACCCTCCCCTCCTCCTTCTCCTCACCTCCAGTTTTTTCTAAAGATTCGTAGCTTGCCGGCGGTCTCCGTGAGCACCCTCTCGATGTACACCAAGGACATGATCACGCAGTCCTTCTCCAGCTGGGCCGTCTTGAACACGTACGAGTAAAACTCTAGCACCTGCTTGGTCCGGCCGGCGGAGGAAAACGCGTGCGTTAGTGCGTGCGTGAGCGTCTCGATGGGGGCAACATCCCATCTAGGGTGTGCTCTCTATTCGCACAAGACACACAGAAAGAGGGGAGGGGGGGAGTGTCCTAGCAGCGCATTGTAGTCGGCGTGTTCACATTGTTTTCTATTACGAAAACGTTGGAGTGACCACACACGAAGGAAAATCACAGGGCACGACCGGTGGTAGAATTAGCCAGCCATACGTTCAAAGTGGTGTTCTGACGTGGTGTTTCGACGGGTTTTGGCACAAAAAAAAAGCCCTGCCTTGGCGAAGGAGTAGTTCGGACGGCTGGTGTGCAGACTAGGATCGTTTTAGATCAGTCAAGGCGTTTCGCCAAGTAATTGGGTACCGTGATATGCAGAGCACGCTTGCTGACACAGCTGATCCACCGGGCAGCGCTATCTACTCCTAAACTCAAGCGCGGGGAAAGGCAATGCCAATCGATCAATCTGCATTGTCACTGGCCGACCACACGCCATTTGCATTGCTCAAAAACTTCAGCTGACACCATGGCGCTGCTGCTGCCGCTGTTGCTGCTGCTGCTGTGTGGCGAGACAGACCAGGCACTAGTCCCTCCCGCTGTACCCGTCACTTGACGACAGACAGATCAACAACGAAACAGCGCCTCCCACGGGAGAAAGCCACACGAAGCAAACGATCACGCTGGTCCTGCCTCGTGGCTCGCTCGACCACAGCGGGGTCGCACACGTGCTACATGATAACACCGATAGAGGCAGGTTGAAACCTGTGGCACATCAACCGCAACACGTTTCTCTTGGACCCAGCGCGTTTCTCACCGCTAACCCCTGCAGATCCTCTTCGGAAACGCTGCGCACGACAATTGACTGCTGGGTGCGTGCACGATGAATACTAGAACAACACACAACAAGCAACGACGCCAACATAACAACAACGATTTCGGTTTCAAGTCGCGACCCACTGACAAAAAAGAAAACGCGAAAAATCCCCCCCCAATATAAAATAAAAAAACACCTCTGCGTATGACGGAGGCGGTCGCTCCGGCGGCCCTCTAGATCCCCACCCCCCCTCCCCGCCCCTACCCACAGCGCGCAAGCCTCCTCCTCCGTTGGCAACTCCCCTGCTGCCGTTGCTGCTGCTGTTGCTGCTGCTGCTGCTGGCGACCTCCATTCCCGGAGGGTCGTTGAAGATGTTGAATCGCGGGTCGATGGGCCAGGACATGGCGCAGCCCTCCGAGATGTGGTGGTGCAGCACCAAGCTCGTGACCTTGATCATGGCCTTTTGCAGTGGGCATCGACGAGTTTTAAGTTATAGGGATATTATATCTATAGCCTGTGGTGGTTTTTCTGGGGTGTAGGTACAGCGACATCACTCCGCACACCATATTACTTTCACGATGCGGTACTCGACATGGAAGTAATTTATACTATGCATGTATGTGTTTGTTTGGTTGTGCTTCGGCACACGCCAAGGAAACGGCCCTTTCGAAACCGGAGTTCAGGATGTTGGTTCCTAGGACAAGCTTGAGGCGAGATGAGGCATCAGGTGAAACATGCAGCATTACTACGACATGTATAGAGTTAGTGCGGTAAAAAACAAAACCGATATTATTTATGTAAGTTCGTGAAATACCAGCCGGTTTCATGTTTTTTGTTGTGCGTGTGTGTTACATAACTTTTCGTCTTACGTGTATCAAGCACGAAGGGCGGGCGTAAATGGTGAGGTTCTTCCCCTCGTCTATGCTTCAAGTCGTCACCTGCACGTCAAGGTCGTCGATGAACAGGCACAGCTCCACGCTAGACGAGCTGTTCCTCCTCTTCAAGGGAAGCTTCGCCGGTCGTGCCGCCCCCCTGCCACAACAACAACGACAAGGAGTCGCGGTCCACTCAACAGAGACCACAAAGAGAATGAGAAAGACTCGTTTGTGGGGAGAGGAGACAAGCAAAGCAAACCAGCCTGGTGGAGACCTGGTGTACAGGCCCAAGGCTTGTTGCACCCGACGATAGGAAAGGACAGAATCCCCCGGGAGCACGGCACGAAGGAGGCACGGACGGCAAGCCCGTGCAAAGAGGCACACATAACACGCGAAATCGTTGTGCCACTATTTGACAGCGTTGGGAAGTAAGGCAGAGGCTGGAAAAGCAAAAAGAATAGAAACATTGTCTCGTGTTCCTTTTTCAGTCCCGCGAGAAGAAACACAAACAGCATACCACACAAATTAATTCCCTTGACCAGCGAACACAAGCAGCATACCGCACAGCAGTAGCGCTCTACACAGAGACCCCCTTTCTTCGTCCTCGATCTCGGCGTGGCCCTATCAATAGCTCGACGAGTGCAACGACTGAGCGCTTGCAGCACGGCGGTTCCATCTACGAGCGGAGCCGCCTGTCGCACGCCGCCGCTTCGTTCTTGCCAGACAGAAGTTGCTCAATCGATAGTCTACCGCACAACTCCCCCCCTCGCTCTCTCGCTCTCTCACCAGTTGAGGCGACAGAAGTTGCTCAATCGATAGTCTACCGCACAGCTTCCCCCCTCGCTCTCTCTCTCCCTCTCTCTCACCAGTTGAGGTGCTTATTGTGCTTGTGCAGGATGTCCATGTCCATGTAGGGCACGGTGCGAAACATGTAGTGCGGCTTGTGCTCCCGGCTGACGCTGTTCAGGGTGCCGCCGATGAAGTTGGTCCACTGGTGCGGCTCCGGCTCCGGCGGTATTGGACCTCCGTAGCTCTTTCGTTGTTGTTGTCGTGGTTATTGTCGCGTACAAAACAGTACAAACGACAAGTTATTGGTGTTGTTGGTGTTGTTGTCAAGTACGAGAGGTACGAGGAAACATTGCGATTGACCAAGACACGGGGGGGACGACCTTGCGCCGAGCAGCGGAAGGGGAGCGTGAGGGGGGGGAGGTGGGGTTTCGCAGGCAAGGCCGCAAGTATTCCTGATGCCATGCCCGCGGCCGTTGCACATGCCGTGGAATCGCAACATCCTCAACCCGTGTTGAATTCACAAGGTCGGTTCTACTACACTACACCCACCGCCGTGTGATTGTCCGCTCGCGCCGGGGTCCCCCAGGAGTTTTGTCACACAGTCAATATTAACCGTCTGGCTCTGGACCAGCAGTCCTTGTGTACCGAGCAGTGCGGCGTACACCCAAGACTGCCATGCGAGAACGAACGGCAGCTGCGTCTTCCTTATGGGATTGACCACAATCAAGATGGTTCCGCCTGACTCAATGGCCTCTCGAGGGAGTGCTAAATTTCTTTTTGGCGTTTTTTTTCGTACACACCTGCTTGCGCTGGATATTGAGCTCCATGGAGTCGAAAAATTCCTGCTCCTCTTCAGAAATCTGGCGTTTCGTCTTGCTGCTCAGCCTCCTGCCTCACCAGGGAGTTCACACCCAATAAGAAGGCGGTACGAGGCGACGTGAGGGCTCATACATTTGTCGTGGAGGATGCGTTTGTCGTGGTGAGACAAGCCGCTTAGACCAGCGCCCCTTGGCCACAGCAGTGTTTCGAATGTGCCAGCATTTTCGGGCGGCAAAAGAGTGTTCCTGTAACAGCTAGTAGGCTCGTAGGAAAGGTCCGTGTGTTCTCTGTGGCAAAGCACATCCACTACAACCGCTACATCAAGAGGTTGAACGTCAATGTGTGTCCAGGGGGTTCAACACATCAGGGACGGGAAGTTGTTTCCACACCCGTTCTTTCACCGAAAGCAATGGTGCGTATGGTGTGTGTTCCCAAAACGAACGCCAAGTTTCCAACAGCAGTAACCTCTTGTCCGTTTTTTTTTTGTTTTCATTCGCCTTCCTTTCGTATCTTTGGGGCCTTAAGCCGGGAAAAACCGGGAAAAAGCTATCTCGAAACCCTCCGCACGCGAACCTGCTGCGCGCGTCGTAGACGGCTAAAACGGGGAAGCCGACTGCGGCGGAGATAAGCAAAAGAATACAATCGAACGCTAATTGCGGTTGCGGCGAAAGGATATCGAACGCCAACTCCGCTTTCGGCCGCGCACAGGCCGGCATAACTCTGTCCGCTCGCTCACCTTGTCAGCGGCACTCCCCCCTCTTCGCCGGAGGAAGGAGTAGTGTCCATGGTGCTGTCCATCGTGTTGCAAGAATCAGCCCATCCAAGCGTGCCGGCGGGGCCCATGACGTCCATGTTGACGGCTGCTTCTGCAGACCCCCACTGCCCGTCGTTGGGTGCGGACACGAGCGGCGAGAGCACCGTCTCTATGTGTAGTAGCTGATATTGTTGGGGTAACTCGTGTACGTGTACTAGTAGCTGATATTGTTGGGGTAACTCGTGTACTGCCGTGGGAGGGAATTTGGTGACCTACAACAACAACCCCCCGTCTACAGCCCTTTTAGACCAACGTTATGGGCTGGGGGGAAGAAGGAGGGCACAGCATGTCGAAACACAGCAACAGGAGATGACGAGACTACGGCTGTATGCATTGTACAGCAGGAGACTACTACAACTGTAGTCTTGAGAGGAAGCTCTTCGATTCGTGTCAGTTTTGTCCTTCTGCGGCCCCATCCATTTCATGGGTAGTCTCCTAATATGCGCACAGTAAACAAACCCGGCTGTCTTTGCTTGAAGGTAACTGGTGTTTCTTGACGTCAAAACCACGCTCATCGGCTCACCAATGGAAATATGTCAGTCTCATGTATGCATACATTTACGCATTATCTACAACTCTACAGCGCGTGTGTGCCGTTTGCTACCGTAGAAAACTCCAAGAACAAGAGGTAGATTAATGAAGGAGAAGGGGGGGGGGTTCTCTGAACGAAGTACATAATGCATGTCCCTTCCCAACACAACCCCCACAGCAAACGAAAGGGAAAAGGTCAACAGCAATCTCTCCATCAAGAGGTACGCACAAAACCGGCTCGATCACCAGCGAGAGAGACAGAGGGGAGAGAAGGTCGTGGATATGCGCAGGAGTTCCATCCCACCACCACACACGTGCACAACAACCTCTTGCACCTGTTTAGCCGAGATGCATTGCGTTCAATGCAGCTGGCAAACGTCGATAGTAGGCGATGCGGGCGAGACGTTCGCGCCCCCCCCCAAGAAGCACACGCAGAGTTCATATTCTTTAGGTGACACGGAACCCATTCTTGTAAATAGATTCTTGGGAGTCTGCTGCTGTACAAAGGACTGGTTCTACAAGTCTAATGCTGTGCATACAAAGCAACTGAACGACAGGGTGCTCTGTTGTCCGCATTTGAACACACGCCTTGCATTTCGCGGCGGGGGAAAAAGCCCGGGGCACGCTCTTACGTGGGCTGGCCCTCTGGCGGAAGCCGTACTCCTTCTGTCTGTCGGACTGCTGGCATTGTTCCCCATGATGATCGTCTGCGGGAGCAAGGAGCGGATCCCGACGGAACATCGGAGAGGAACATGATGTGAGCGTCAAAGTTCAAAGAGAGCGGGGCAGGCCTGCTTCTGGTGTACCAGTCCAGAGGGACAACAAAAAAACAAACCCCAACACATGTCCAAGTCCACCATCTTTCGCATAAGGCACACCCACAGCAGTGCACCCTTCGGTTCACATGGGTACAGGCACAGCTTTTGCCTAGGGCACGAGAGACAGCAGGAGCACAGCATGTACAACAGCCTGCCTGACCTCTATCATTCGAGCTTGAAGTTGGCGTTGTCCCGAGTTCAAACCGATTTAGCGGTAGTCCAGAAGCTTTGCGTGTCTCCCTTGACGAATCTCAAGTCAATTAGGCTCTTGCTTAGCTCGTAATCTTGTGGATCCTGGTCTACGTATCATCTACGCCCATCTCACCGAGCGCCAGCTGCTCGCTGATCCTGGTCCGCTTGTCCGCGCCAAAATGGGGGCTCCGTGCATCGAATGACAGAGACCGAATCTCCGTAGATCGAGAATGACCGGGCGGAGATCGCGAATGACCGCACATAGATCGCGGGCAATTAGATCGCGCATCTCTTCGGATTCGGTACGGCGGTGAAGATCTGAAGGAGAGGAAGTGTCACTGCACGACGGCGAACGAAGCCGCCCCTCTCTCAGGCAGCATGAACGTCATGATACCCATGGCAGGGCGTGGGTCCAGGTAAGGGACTGCACGCGTAAAAAATATATGCATGTCCACCCTGCTCATAACCTCGATACCCTGTTGTTCAGAGAATCAGCTCACGGCAAAACGGCGTTCTGCGTACATACAAGCAACACCACCTCGTTCCCTACCAAGGACAGCCCCAGCAGCAGCTCAGACCATACCCAAGCACCGTGGTGCATACAAGAGTGGTGCACTGCCGAAGTTTCGAAACTCAAGAGACCCCAGCTACACTAGTCTACCTCTCTGCCTGTGCAGGTGAACCTCACTTTCCCTCAGCGTGGAAACAACGCAGCACCGCTGTCTCTCGGGATCTACAGTACAACAGCAGCAGTAGCCTACTCGTAGACGGTACTGCTGCAGTCTACTACAGGTCTAGACTGTAGTGCTGCCCCTGCTCTAGTATTACATAGTCGAAAGTCCAGTCTGCTGTATTGTACATGTCGTAGGACAGAACCACACGGTCCGTTACGGAGAGTTCGTTTGGCATCGCCACCACTGCAGCACACACCTCGTCCGACATCTCTATTGCATTCTACAGAGTCACGAACCGGGTGCGAGAGTCATTTACCCTTCAACATAGCTAGAGCATTTGCTCTGCGTGTTTGTCACGGGGCGCGCGCAACAAACGCTAAACGCAGACACCACGGGATTTCAAACCATCCGCTGCGATGAAAAGCCTCCAGTATTGCTTTTGGTTATTATAGTGTATGACATATGTATACGAATGCGATACCCCGAATCTTCGACAGCAGCGCGGCATGTTGTACAACGACCGCCTTTGATAGTCTTATCTTCCGCTAGATTCAGTCCGTTTTCTTGGTCAATCAACAAATAGACTCATGTGGGTACAGCGAACTGCTGTGGGAATGTGATATGAGGCTGCAGCTACGACGACCTTTCCCGCAGAAATAGAATCGATAGGTTCTCACTGCGATTGACACGGCGCAAGAAAATCTCTGTTGACACCTCAGTCAACAGTACAGATACCATGCTGTCGATACAAATTCGTCCCTCAGCCCCGTCCCTACGATGCTATGTAATTACCGTACTTATTTTTCTCTGCCTCGTGTGTATACTCCTTATGCTACCGTCATGTTGCAGATTTTCAGCCGAAGGATATCGGCTGCCCAAACCGTTAATAAACATTGTCGGACGCCCAATGCTCTTTTGGCTTTTAGACAACCTCAAGCTCAAGCCAGAAGACACTCTCTGGGTTGGGGTCCAACAAGAGCTGGAGGGCGAATACGCGATAGCCGCCCGGTTGAGAAAGGAATATCCGTCGCTTGACATAAGGGTTGTCTCGATTGACTTCCAGACGCGAGGGGCCGCGGAAACTCTTTTCATCATGCTGCAGGTAAGATTCGCCCAAGGAAAAGCGTACTCTGCGAGAAGCGAATAGCAGACAAACATCTCTCGGACTACCAAGCGAGGGGGCCCAGTACAACACGGCGCGCCCCGTTATCGCACAGCAGAAGAACTCGCATCCCACGTGATGCTACCATTGGTTGTGGCTTGAGCCAGGAAGGCGTCCCATTGGTCGTCATGTTTGTGGCTCTCTGAGGCTTTATGTATCTGTGCCAGAGTACTCAGACCGCCAACGAACACGATGTCTTCGGATTCCCTGTACTGCTTGCCACCTTCCCCATGGATCAGCACATGTCATCCGCAGAGATTCGACGAAAAAGCATCTCCCTGGATTGCGACACCATATACTTCTCCGATGTGCTCGGAAGCTTCCGAGCATGCGCGAGTGGTTGTGGATCTAGCTTCTACTTTGAAGACGAAGGAGACAAGGTGAAAATCGCAAAGGTCCACAAAGCTACAGTTATGGTAGCCGTGACGTCATGCCGCATTCTAGAAGCGCGATTGCAATGAGCTGGAAACAATCCTTTGTGGTGGACTTCCCGCTGCAACAGCTAGGTGGCGCGTATTTGAAATTCCGTGCCCTTCTCCTAATTTCCACATTATTTTCTTCCGAACACCGCTCTCGCCGCCTCAGCCAATCTTCTCCTATATCGAATTCGAACCGAGCACGGACAAGATTGTTTACATCCGAGAGAAGGAGGCGATTTCTCGACATGCTAACACCGGCGCCTACGCCTTCCCGTGTGGGGATCGCCTGAGAATGGCTTGCCGTGAAGTCCTCGACAACCCGGTCGGGAAGGCCGGGGAGTTCTACACGTCGAGCATTATTGAAAGGATGATCCAAGCGGGCCAGAAGGTTGGCTTTTCTCTGCTTTTGCTTGGTTTTCGAAGATAGAAATTGACCGGAGATTTCGGTCGAAAGCATTGCTTGTGAGGAAGGGAAACATTCTGTTCTTGTGAAGTATGCAGCATGAGCAATTGTCAATGTGACGAACCTACCTAAGATTAACACTAGTACGACGCTGCAGTGTTGCATATACAAGAAGTGAAATTCTGTAAGCACTGCGCGTTCGGTCGCTCACAAGCTCCGACAGGTTGCCGTACTCCAAAGATACCACATCGTGCTGATCGGACTCTGCCATGCCCTGTCACTGCTGCGCACTCCCCCGCTCTCGGACAATATCGTCTAGTTCGTGGGGATTCACGTGCCAGACTTCTTTTGCGTAGGCACGCCGGCGCAACTGCGCTCGTTCCTTGGCTTGGTCCAAAAAGGGGGAGTGGTACCGCGGCGCAAAACTCGTGTCTTCTTCGACCTCGATCGCTCACTACGTATGGCCCGTTCGGCAACTGGCGCTGATCCAACCGCGTCGGTTCGGTCAGGGGATCTCGACAAACATTTGCTAATGGTGAGGCGAACACCACAGCAGTACAGACGCAAACACGAGATTAGCGATGCCTGACGCAACGGGACGCTAGCGGATTGCACAGCTTGATCGACACGTATGATGTCGCCAAGGTATCTACCGGAAAATAAGACTATCTACCGGCTTCGAGGCTGCACTAATGCTTGACACACTAAGTCAGACAATCAAGATAGAAGCCGGACTATCTACCGGCTTCGAAGTTTCACTAATGCTTGACACACTAAGTCAGACAATCAAGATAGAAGAACGCAGTCGTTTCATCGCCAACAGGCGGTAAAAAGACAATTTCAAAGCAGATGTGATACGCAGAACGAAACGTCTTTGCATTGCAATACACGTCGCCTGGTTCAAGTGTTCGGTCGCATCGCCGGTATCTGTACCGTGAGCACAGTCACGATTCGCACGTGTGCTCGACACGTGATGGCTTAATAACAAGTGATGGAATGTGGAGAGGTTTTAGACAAACACATCTAATTACCGTAGTGGTCCCAGTACAATGCCGGTGCGAAGTAGCCAATTTCACCGGCATTATACAGGGCAACCGGCGTTATTCAACCGGTGTTATACCGGGACCACTACTGTAGTGGAAAGTATCGGTTTGCCGGGTGCCACGTCATCAACGGACCACCAATACGTGTTTGTTCGCCCAGGTGTGGGTCTGTCAAAGAAGCCCACAGGGGACCGTACGACAGACGAGACATTAAAGGATAAAACTGCTGTTAATGGAGAAATAGGTGGCTCGTGATGACTCTTGGCCACGTGCTTTGACGTTCGAGGCATGAATGCAGCCACAACCCTGACCTGCAGTCCATGTGTTGCTCCTAGAGACAAACGCGCGTTGCATCGTCTGCGGAATGCGTTGCATACCTGCGGAACCTATCTCGGCAGGAACTGCAAGCCGTCAGCGCCTGCCTTTCACACGATGGAAAGATCGACGATCGGTTTCGTCGTGGCCCGTGCACTCACTTGTTGGATACATATGTTCCCTGTTTTTGACGCGTGGGCGTCCGGCAGAAAACGCGTAACACGGGCACTTCCCTCGAAGACCCCGTGTCCGGACAGCCTGCTGCTGGAGACATCACTATCGGTGGAAGGACTGGGAACGCGCACCAGGACATGCAGGAGGAGGTACAAACCCAGCACACGAATGACACATCGGCTGTAATCGATAGAGTTGGCGAAGCACACGGTACCATACTGCTTCCCGGCAACTACATCCTAACACGTAGCTAATTCGCATCTGCGGAGGCTAGACCAAGAAGTCGAGGCTGTCGTGGGGAGTTTTCGTATGCCCAGTTTTTTATACCCAGAGATTCGCAAAAGTACCTGCCAAAGGCGTGCGAAGGATTCATTCCGAATCACACCGAGAGATACGTTGCATACTACTACGCAGTCTGTACTAACTATCACAAGGCACCCCAATTCACAGCTGACACCCCCAAGCCTCTACGAAGGCATACAACTCTCGAGTCGTCGAGTTCCATCAATAAATACGTTTGGCGCCTTTCGTTTGCGTCTGCGTCTTTGTGCCAGATCGGACGGTGCCTGAAAGAATCGGAGATTGAAGAAGCCGTCTCTTCTTGTTGCGCGCAAGACTTTGTACGGCCGAGATCGTTCAACAGGTGTGCACACACGCGTGGAGGGGTTTGATAGCAACTGGCTTCGCTCGCGTGAGTGTCGAGATTTGATAGTTGCTCTACGTGAGGCTTCCCTTGAGACGGGGTGCGCTACGCCGATGTAGCTCGGAAGCATACCTGATGTATGCAGGCTCATCGTCACGCCGACACGTCGGCGCCTGAGCGTGTCTAAGCATGACGCGGAAGCTCCACGGGCCACACCGACTACTGCCGCGTACCACCTCTCGCACTCGCTCGTGGAAACTGTTCCGCTGTCATGCGTCGGTTTGTGCAACTTCAGGATCACCTGCTCGGAGGACAACCTCGTGACCAAGTCGGCGCCTTTGGAATATCTTCGCGGGGAGCTGCACTTCTACCGATCGATTCCGCCCGAGCTGGTGCACCTCTTCCCGACTCTCGTGAAAGTGAACGATGACCCCGCTCTGGCAATGCCTTCCATGACGATAACTAAGGTGAGATGCACGTGGTGGGGATAGATACCACAGGAGTGGCTAGGGGGAGCTTTTACGCTCAGATCGGTTTCGGTGAGTGAGTTATACCAAACGATACCTGTGAGACATGAGCTACGAGAACATGGTCTGTCATCGAGGGCCGCGCGCATGCCTTGGCCGAGTGTCAACCATGTGTCCCAGGGCTCACCTTTGTCTTCATTATTTGATACGTTTGACATAGGTTCCCATTCTGGCCTGTCTATCACTGTTCGTCCTCCCGGTACTCGTGGGCGGTTGCCAACACGTGGATCGAGCGTGAGACACACCCACATACCCTTGCGCCCCTCCCCCCCCCCCCTCCATCTTGCTCTCGCGTATGGCTGCCATCTCAGATCGACGGGGTGAGCTTTTCGCACCTCGTCACCAACCACTGCGTCACCCGAGGCAGATGTTCAAAGCTTCTCCGCAGTCTCCGGGAAATTCACGAAGCGAAGAAGATTCCGAGAGGGCCTCATGGCGAGGTGGGAACGTCAGGCCCCGGTGAAGAGAACAACGGACCCTCTAGCAAGGATGGAATATGTGAGTTGAAAAACAGAATAAGCGTGAGACCGTAGGGATCTCGCGTTCGATCCCTTGGGTATGTCGGTTTGTTCTTTCCCATCGTGTGTAAGCAACAAGCGCTTGCGTCCATCCAAACGATAACGTCAATTACATAAATATGGACGAACGGTCCTTAGGGGTGATCGATGAAACTGGCCTGACGAACGACTCGCACCCTCTTGAGGTGACCACTTGAGGTGACAACTTGAGGTGTCCATTTTAACTCCCCGAAAGAACACCAAACCGAATTGTTCGTGACATTCTCAGGGAATACGTTTCTCGGGTAAGTAACACGGAAGGAACGGCCCTCCCACTTTGCAGATGTACACACTCCGTAGGGAGCATCTCTCGGGCGTCGACATGTTCCGTTTGATGGTGACACGCCGTAGAGGTGCGCATCGTGTCTCTACGACGGGTATCATCCAGCTCCTAGTCCAGACCAATGTGAGCTCCAATCCTTCCAATCACTCTTGTATCCCTCATCATCAGACTACGATGGCGTCGTTATCGCACCTTGCTCCGAGCCCCTTCATCGAGAAATCTTCACTGAGCGATTGCCGTCGCAGCAGAACCAGCGGCAGGGTCTCCCAGCGTCGACAATATGTGCAAATCTGCACAAAAAGGCGAGTTGGTGTACCTTTGAAACCGGGGGGGGGAGTATGACCACGGCGCGGCGGCCCTGCGCGATGTCTTTGTTCGATCCACTTCAAACCATAACATCAAACCTGTGTCCCATGCGACAGGTGTTGCGGAGGCTTGGGCAAAATGAGGCAGTCTATACAGGGTTCGAAGGGATTGACGTCCCGGGAATGTCTCGGATCATCCTATCGTACCTCCGCAGCTATCAGGTGAAGTGTGGAGCGCAAGTACGGTAAACACTTGTGTCTACTCTAAGTAGCGGCGTGGAGCGGTGGACAGTGGAAGTTTTTTTCAGTTCCCATCATCTGACCTGCCGGGCATAGCTTCGAAGCACGTATCCTTACAAGACGGACCATTCGAAAAACTCCAAAGGGGTTGCAACGGACGGGGTAACGCTAGCCGCATACGGTGACTACGAATAAAAGAGAGGGAGAAGGAAGTCGAAACCCATGGGACAGTCAACCGAGAGCATGCCCAAACGCGTGAGCAGCATTGTAATAATCCTGTAGCTTGGATCATGCGCACTCCCAAGGGTAGCCTGTCAACGAAGATCATGGCAGGCTTCAAATTTGTATATCGAGAACGTTTGGCAATGTTGCCACCAAAGTGTATATCGAGAACGTTCAGCACGTTGTCTTCGATACATGCAGGAAGGAGCGAGGTTCCGCCGAGCAGACTTCGTTCACGGAGACCCTGTATTCAGCAACTGCCTGCAGAACAAGGTAATCGGAATATTCGTTTCCCCATTGTACGGGGCGCCTTGGGGTAGTTCACCGGATGTACATGCGACTACCGTGGCGTAGCCTTACCGCTACAGCCATGGTGGTATCGAAGGTGTCTCGCCCGTTGCACTATTTAGCTACACGTGCTACATTGTGCATGCAGGTGACGGTGCTTTGTGCTTCAATAAAAATGTGTTTCCGTTCGGGGAGTTTCCCGACTTTCTTCGAATTTGTGCTTCTCACCAACGAAATACGTAAGAGTATCATGCTCAAACTCTGGATGGACCAGATCATCCCACAGAAACAATGTTGCACCTTATCATCGTCTGCTAACAGGAAGGTGACGTTGCGTTCGTAGACATGCGAGGAGCGCTCGGGGACTTACTGTGCACGGAGGGAGACACGAACTATGACCTTGCCAAGGTGTACCAAAGTCTTTGCGGGTATGACTTCATCATCATGGACAAAGACGTGGACCCCAACGCAGTCGAGATGTTGCGTGATTTAGAGCAGGTGAGGCAACCAGTCTAAACATGCGAGTAGTCTATCGAAGCACCTCGTCAAGTCTGTTCGTGTCCCTTCAAGGAATATCAAATGGCGAATCCAGGTTATATGAAACGTGTAGGGGGGAATGTGGCGATTGTCAGTCAGTGTTCTAGGCTGGCTCATACGGCGTACGTCTGACGCTTCCGTGCAACCAATCCGCTACGTCTGTCGTTTTCAACCAGAATGTGTTCTGGCCTTTCGTGCGGGAGAATTACGCCGGAACTAAGCCCGAAGACATTGCCATGCTGGCGGCGTCGCACTTCTTGTCTATGGTGCCACTGCATGAAAACCGCGGACACCAAGCACGTTTTATGAGGGCTTGCAACGATATAGTGACAAAATGGAGTAGCTAGGAAGGGTGTTCCCCACATGAACGGCCAATCGAACAACAGGACGGAAGGGTGAAGATGTGCTGGAAAAGGCAACACGGAGAAAAAACTAGCCGTGAAAACAACTACCATTACTCAATGTGTTGTTCGATTGTCTTTCTTTGTCTTTGCACCCACAGTCAACACATCAAATGTTGCGAGAGGGGCATGAACTTCCTGTCGTTTTCCAAACCGAGGATCATTTAATGGAAGTTTGGATTGGGTGAGGCCTCCTGCGCTGGCAGAGGGGGTCCTCTCCCTGGCCTTGAATGGGGGCTGCAGAGGTCACAAATACCGCCGCAAGCCCGGTTGGGCAACGGCTTTGCTGGCGAGCCAGGGGGGTATTCGAAGGGGGCGCGGGGCCAGCGAGGGCCGGATAAAGCGAGGCATACTGTCAAGAATTCCGCACCCAACTGCGCTCGCGAGGTTTCGGGAGCGACAATGTTTTGTGGTCTCGTTCTACGGCATTACAATGTATCGCAAATTCCAAGACGTTCAATACAATCGCAATAGTAGAGGCTGGCGACGAAATATTAAAATATGAGAAAACAAAGACATGTTCTCCTCCCCGAGTCTATATCTTTGCCAGGGATTTGAAACACTTTTCGCGTTTTGGGGGCTTCGCCTGCCGCCCGGATGAGCTCATGTGCGTGAGTGTAGCTCCCCCCGTCCCCATGCTGTATGATCCCGTATCTTTCCGCTTTGGCGGCGGAGAGGTGAAACGACGGAGTATCTACAGCAATCCCGTCGAGAGCCCATGATCTTTACGAGTGTACTGGTTGGGCAGCGTTGCTCCATCCCTCGCATGAATCACTCTGGTTATTGTGTACAATGCGGGGGTTCCCCCGGATACCACAGCGAGAACGCCTGCAAAGATCGACACAAAATGTGAACACGCCTGCCTCTGCCTATCTATTCTTTCGTGAACAGGACCCCGCGTTGTGTAATAGCATTGCTCGGAGAGGAGTTCTGACGGCCGGTCCCAGTTTGTTGCTCTTCCTCCTGCTATCAACAACGTATTTTGTGTCATCAAAGTTTGATGATGAAACGAAACGAAATGGCGGCTATGATCTATAGACTGCTGCATGGACATTACGACTATCTGTTCGCGACCATAATCTTAGCGGGTATCCTACTTCCGGTAGGTAGGCTCCTCGCGGTGTGTGATGTGGTGGACCACATGATATATTATTATCGAAACTGCAACCACCGATAAATACATCGAAATAAATGGCAGGCTGAGATAGAAGAACATGTTGCCTTGCAGTCCGTGCCGTGGGACAAAACCAACCGAAGAGTTAGAAAACCATAATTCGTAAAATGCAATGCTCTGCAATATGTTATGGAGGAACACAGAAATATGAAAGGAAGGGAGAAAGTCCGTTGCTCCTAGCTTCGGGTACTCACAGTTCTTGTTTGATCTCTTGTATTAGCCTACTTAGACCAGGTCCGCTCAGCGCTCACTCGGAGAGTGCAGGAGCGGGGCTGGGATGCTGGTCTTCCTTCAAGCTACTTCAATACCTCACGACGACGCCAAATATCCATAACCAACGAAACTTCAAAATAACCATTAAGTGCTCATACAACACACTTTTCAGCGCTCATACAATGATCATACACTAGCTGCTCCATTACATATATCTGTTACCACACAGGTGAAACCTACAGGTGGAAGAAAGGATAGACCAGCATCGGATTGGCGGATACGGTTGTTTATTTCTTTGCGCTCAGAAACCGTATTGTCTCCTGCAGCAGCACCAACAACCCGCAGAAGACAACGAAGAAGGTCTAGAAGGCCCGTAGTCACAAGAAAATGTTTTTGCTAATAGTAGAAGAGCAGCAGTAAACTAGAGTCCGCCACGAGGAAGCTAGAATTTCTAAGCCTGGAGTTGATAATGTCTTGCGAACAGGGCATGTGTCGAACAGCATCGCGTCGAAGGCGAGGTTGGCGGCGGTGTCGCGGCCAGGAATCGGAAGGCCCGGTAGACTTTGGTCGTTTGTCAGTGCCCAGTGGACATGGCTCGCCCAACGCAACAAGACTGCGAAGGAATGTGGCCTAAGGCCGAAAACAGCTGAAATGACCGAGTCCGGTATGTAGGCTCCCTTTTCTCCCATCATGACGGGAACGGCGATGTTGTGGCGTTTGATGGCCCTGTGGATACCACTGACCCACAAGCACCACATGGGTGGTTCCCGAAAAGAATTCCGACTCTTGTCTTGGATGGCGTCAAGAGCGATCTTCTGGAACAACCAAGTCGTAGGTGAACAGAAATGATGTCGGGGTCGCACGTAAACGTTGAACGTCGGCCTTGTAGACGGTGCTGTAGCTGGCTCGATGACGACGACGCCCGAGTAGTCGTCGTTGGGGTCAGGGGGGGTGTCCAGGAGACCAAGGAAAAGGTGGTACGACGACTTGAGCAGAAAAGGCTTCCCCTTGTTGGTTGGTTGCGGTGTAGTCGCTACCAACTGTAGCCCATTCATAGAAGCCGACACCTGGAACGATGCACACGTCGAACGCAACCTTTCTCCGGAAAGAAGGGGAAGGTCCTTGGACGCAGCAGTGGTAATGGCTTCGTTGAAAAGTAGTCGACCTCCGCCTGGGAGTGTCGAGGTAGGTTCCCGCGAGGGCTGTTGGGCTGCGTCCATCGTTTCCGATTGCTTCAGCGACAGGACCAACGATTGAGTGTGCGGTGGCTCGGCGAGGTGAGTGGGGCAGGGTCTACTACGCGTGTTGATTCGCGCGGAAATATCTGTGGAGCCGCACGTTCGAAAAACACATGTTCATAGTCTATGTGTAGCTCTCCACCATCTCTTTGGTGCCGCATGCCCTGTTATCTATCCTTTTTTGTTTTTCCTTTCTTCTTTCCCCGTTGCCTTCGAACACCGGCAGTTTCTTGACGTGCACCGACGGATTCCGTCGCCACTGCTTCGTCCGTGTTGCAAACCTCGGGTAACGTCTCGTTCCCCATGCGTCTTTCGCTCCACTGCTGTTCCCCACAGGCGGGGGTGCCGGGTACTCCACCCCGGGGTGATACCGCTTCGGAGATAGGCAGTTCGACGGGAGATACCCCCGGGCCAGGCGCGACGCTGGACCGACCTGAGGAATCCCCCCCCGGTCTCCCCGCCTCCGTTGACGCCACCGAGGATGGAGCAGCGGTTGAGGCTGGAGCTCGGCCTTGTGAAGATGTGAAGATGAGGTTCCTTCTGCCGTGGCCTGGGAATGGCACCGTGACGGGTGCCGAAAAGATGATGCGGAAGCTTCGCCTGGGAGTGTCGAGGTACGTTCCCGGGAGGGCTCCGGCTGCGTCCATCGTTTCCGATTGCTTCAGCAAAAGATCCAATCCTTGAGTTCGCGGTAGAATAGCATGGCGAGGGTCGAACTTGCTGAGTGCGACAGGGCTTGCCGGGTGTTGATTCGCGCAGAAATATTTGTGTAGCTGTGTGTTCGAAAAACGCATGTTTCTATAACTCTGCGCACTCTCTTCCTGGTGCCGCATGCCCTGTTGTCCTTTCCCCCCCCGGTTCTTCCTTCCCCGTTGCCTTCGAACGCGATCAGTTTCAATTTCGTGACTTTCGCCGACGGATCCATTGCTTCGTTCATGTTGCGATCGTCCGTTAACCTCTCGTTCTTCATGCGTTTTTCGCTCCACTGCTGTTCCCAGTGGGGGTGCCGGGCACTCCACCTCCGGGTAATACTGCTTCGAAGATAGGCAGTGCGACGGGGGTCCCCCCCGGGCCAGGCACGACGCCTGACTGAGCCGAGGGCAGGCTCCAGGCCGTTTGCGTCGCCGTCAGTTCCTTCGCGGGGGGCGCAGGCGGCGGCGACCGGAGCCGGAATCGCCGGGAGTGGGTGAAGAGTTTCGCGACGGCGTGTTGACGTGGGAGTCCTACGACACCACAAACGCAGACCTGC